TGCAGTTGCAAGTGAATAACAAATTTTTTCCACAGTTTATGGGCAGAGTGAAACTCTGCAGAAAATAATTGTCTTCTTTCTTTTCTTTTCTCATAATTCATTGTTATTGTATGGTGATATCAATATTGTTCATCAAGATTGGTAGAAACTCATCATATATATTTGGTGGATTTCCAACACAATAGTGGTGGCCAAAAATGTATAGGATTTAGGGAAGGAGATTGGTTTGATACACCAAGGAGAGGAAGCAGAAATTGTGCAAGAATTGGCGGTAGGGGTGAAAGGTGGGGAAGGAAACCCTTAAGAGCACATGGTTTAATTCAGAATGGGGAGTTTAAAAGTGTGATTATGAAGATCGTTAGTTACAATATAAGAGGTTTGGGTGGGGTGGCTAAGAAAAAAGAAATTCAAAATCTAATTAGAACTTATAAACCAACATCCTTATTCTTATGTATTCAAGAAACACAGATGGAGATCATTGATAGAATCTTATATAGTTTCTTGTGGGATTCTAATGAATTCGAGTTTGCTACAAAGCGTCTGAAGGGAGGTCGGGGGGAATATTGACTGCTTGGGTGGAAGGAGATTAGGGAGTGGACAAGAGGAGAATAATTATTGTGAATGTTTATGCACCTTGCAATGGAAGAAGAAAACGAAAGTTGTGGGTAGAGCTATCTCGAAAAATTATCGAGAAGAATGGCGAGAGTTTTTTGCATTTTGAGAGATTTTAATATCGTAAGGGATGAAATGGGAAGAAGAGGATCAATTGAAAATACAAGAAGAGAAGATATGGATGAGTTCAACGAATTCATTACATATTCATACTTGATTGATCAGCCTATTTGTGCCAGGAAGTTCACTTGGTCTAGACTGGGGTGAATCGCCACAAGTCGTATAGACAGATTCCTAATCCTAGAAGAGTGGAACAGTTATTGGCCTAATTGTACACAATGGGTTTTGGACAAGGAACTTTCAGATCATTGCCCCATTTTGTTGTGCGATCATGTGCAAAAGTGGGGCCCAAGACCATTTCGAATGTTAAATTGTTGGAAGAACATTGAAGGATATAACAAATTTTTAAGAGAATAATGGAATAATCTGGATGTGGAAGGTTGGGGAATGTATGTTTTGAAGGAAAAACTGAAAATGATCAAAGGAAAACTAAAAGAGTGGCACAAATACCATACGCAAAATTTGGATGAAAAAATAAAAGCCACAAAAGAAGAACTCAACAAGCTGGATTTAAAAGGTGAATCAGAGAATTTATCATTAGTGGAGGTGAATCAAAAAAGAGAATTATCGACATATCTTCATAGATTATCGAGTCTCAACTGTAGCATTCAAAGCCAGAGGTCTTGAATTAGGTGGTTGAAAGAAAGAGACATAAATTCTAAATATTTTCATGGTTGCATCAATAAAAGAAGGAAATATAATGGAATATTGTGTCTGGAAGTTAATGGGAGAGTAAAGAAAGAAGTAGAGGAGATAAAAAATGAAATTTATGATCATTTTCAGAGTCTGTTTGAAGTTAGGGGGTAGACCTATCCCAGCTAACATAGAGTTTAAACGGGTGGAAGAATCAGATAAAGAAAGTTTGATAAGAGATTTTTCAGAAGATGAAGTCTGCATCGCAATTTGGGAGTGCGAAAGCACAAAAAGTCCAAGCCCCGACAAAGTTAATTTAGGATTTATAAAAGATTTTTGGGATGAAATTAAAGGCGATTTTATGAGAGTGTTTGTAGAATTTCATTCAAATGGTCTGATGGTGAAAGGGGCAAATAGCTCATTCTTAGTGCTCATACCAAAGAAATAGAATCAGTCAAAGATATCATATTACAGGCCAATTTCCTTGGTTGGGTGCATCTACAAAGTTATTTCTAAGGTGTTGCCAATAGATTGAAAAAAGTGATTAGTAACATCATCTCAGAGGAACAATCAACATTTATATCAGGCAAACAAATTTTAGATGGAATTTTAGTTGCAAATGAAATTGTGGATGGAACTAAGAGGAGGAAGAAAGAAGTAATTCTATTTAAGGTGGACTTTGAAAGGGCATACGATTCAGTAGATTGGATTTTTCTAGTTCACGTAATGGAAAAAAATGGGGTTTCATGAGAAATGGCTTAAATGGATCATGGAATGTTTAAGATCGTCCCCAGTATTGATATTAGTGAATGGAAGTCCAACTAAGGAGTTTAAGATGGAGAGAGGTCTAAGACAAGGACGTCCTCTTTCTACTTTACTATTTATAATCATAATAGAATGTTTGAATATGATGATGAAAAAGGCTATTGACAGAGGGAAGTTTTCAGGTTACAGTCTTGAGAAAGGTGATGTTAAATTCTCTCACTTATAGTACACAGATGATACATTGATTATAAGAGAGAAGATGTGGTCTAATATTAGGACCATAAAAGTAATTATATTGTTGTTTAAATTGATGTTGGGGCTGAAAGTCAATTTCCAAAAGAGTTCCCTCGTGGGGATCAATGTTCCACAATGATGGATTATAGAGGCTGCCAAGATTCTAAATTGCGGTATTAGACCTATACCGTTCAATTACCTTGGTCTTCCAATTGGATCGAATCCGAAAATGAAGGGTACATGGTCTCAGGTGATAAATACAGTGAAATATTGATTGTCTAGATGGAAGAATAAACACTTATTCATTGGTGGTAGGATTGTAATCTTAAAATCAGTCTTAACCGCAATTCCGATCTATTTCCTCTCTCTTTTTAGGGCTCCGTCATGCATTATCTCTAAATTAGAGTCAATTTTCAAATAGTTTTTATGGGGGTTATGGGGAAGGGAGAAAAATTAACTGGGTGAAATGAGAAAACATGTGTAGAACAATTGAAGAAGGGGGTTTGGGGATCAGGAATTTGATGTTATTCAACATAACTTTATTAGGAAAATGGATGTGGAAGATTAAGAAAGAGAAAAAAAGGTATTTGATATGATGCTTTGATTAATCATTATAAGATTAATTTCAAGGGGTTGAACTTGGGGGTTAATGGAATCTCAACTTGGTGGAAAGACATTAGTGTTTTGAATTGAGGAGAAATGGAGAATACAAATGAATGTTTGGTGAAAGAGGCTTATAAGAGTTTATCGTCAATAGCCATATCTTTGCATAGTCCTTATTGATCAAAGATTTGGAATAAGGCGATACCGTCCAAAATTTCTTATTTGGTGTAGAGAATGTTACAAAATAGGATTCCAACAAAAGTCAATTTAGTCAAAAGGGGAGTGTTAGTGCAGGGGCATAACCTATGTGCGGCAACATGTGAGAGAGAAGAGACAGTATCTCATCTTTTTTTGGAGTGTCTAATTTTTGCAGGTGCTTGGAGTTCCATGTTAGAATGGATCGATGTCTATGCTGTGTTGCACAATGATGGATGGCAACACATGGAACAATTTGAAAACATATTAGGCAGAGGAAGATCAATTTCAATTAAATTGGAAATGGTTTGGTTCACCTACGTTTGGTGTATATTGAAGTCAAGGATCAATAAAGTTTTTCAAAATGAGGAAATCGTTATGGAAAAAGTGGTAGATGAGGCAAAAATGTGTTCTTGGAAGTGACTGAAATTAAAATTAAATATTATATCAAATGATATATTTCAGTGGTATACGAATCTGAGTGCTTGTATTGGATTCATGGATAATTGAAAATAAGTTCTTGGGTATAATTATTGGAATGAGTAGGTGATTTCGTGGCCACATGTTTAGAGAGGCGGTTATCGAGGTGCTCTGCAACATATTTCTTATTTAGTATTAGAGGAGAAGTTTAAAAGATCTTATCATCAAATGTTTATTTGTAGGCTGGGCGTTCGAAAATTTTGGAGTTTTCTTGTTGATCAGCAAGCAGCTACCAAGCTCTTGTAGCAAAAGCCGGAGGAAGCCCCTTTTGTTCTTTGATATTGATTGTCTCAGTGTCATAGCAGTGGGAGTTCGGGCTCTCTGTAATTCTTGGAGTCGGCTAAGCTTTGCATAGTTGTGCCGGTTCATTTATGTCGATTTGTCAGATTACTGGATTCGTTTGTGGTATTATTGGATTTCTTGGTAGTTTTTGGTCGCGGTCCGGGCAACGCCTAGGCTGAGTTATGTTTGTGGTGCATTTGGTTTTGTTTTTGATCAATCGGTAGGCCACGAGTTAGGGGTGATGTTCAAGGTTAGGGGCTACTACGGGGCCCATTCGGCGATTCATTAAAAGATGTACAAAATTTTGTTTAAGTTGGAGGTATTGTCGATGTTCTTTGGTCAACTTGGAGGGATGCTGCCAAATGTGGGAGATTTTAGCAAGATTCTTTTAATTTAAGATCGTTAATTTCGTTATGAATTGCAGCTGTCAAGTGAAATGGGTTTGTGTGATTGGGTCTGTATGTTTCTGTCAGTTTTTATTTGGGTGTTATTTATCTGGTTTTGTAGTGGGAGTGGTGCACCTTGACTGTCTGTGCTTGTTACTCTCTCAATTTTAAAATGAGTGTCGTTTAAAATTTTTGTACACAGATTAATGAATATAATAATAATGTCATAAGACATTACATTTTTACTATATTAATCTTATAAATGTGTTAAAAGTAGTACAGAGAATAATAATTAAAAAACATAATTAAAAAAATAATAATCATTTCTACGTTAAAAAACAATAATAACATTTATTTTAAATCAAATTTTATTTATTAAAACACACTCATTTAGAGAGATTATATAATTGTATATAATTCTCCTGATATAAAAACATCAGGGGTTACTTATGCCTATTTTAATTCAATTGGTTTTTGCTTGTTTTAAAAAAAAAAGGTAACAGAATAGTAAGAGAGAAAACAAGATTCATTGAACCTAGACACACACTTACGATCTATTTGCAATATTTATACCCACATCTTATTTCTCAACACCACACACTCATACCCAAAATCACAAAGCTTCTTCTTCTTTCCACCGCATCTCTATTATCTCCAAATCTAGATTTCAATTTCATGAGTATTTTTATGATGGCAGTGACCGGCGCCGGCGGGAGAAAGCAGATTAAAAATGCGGTGGTGCCGGAGTCAGATTCCGAGCTGGAAAAAAGAAACCAAGGGCTTGAGAAGGAGTTAAAGGAAAGCAAGGAGAGAGAAGAGGAAATGAGACGGCAGTTACATAGCACATGGGAGAGGCTGCGCGTGGCGGAGGAAGCCGAGGAGCGACTCTGCTCGCAGCTCGGAGAGCTAGAAGCAGAAGCGGTTTATCAAGCGCGTGACTATCACGATCGCATAGTTTCTCTGATGGAGCAGCTCTCACACGCGCAGAGCCTCTTGCAGGAGGTCATTCCTCCATCTTCAACCTAATAACGGCTTGATGAAAATGAAAATGAGGCTTGTGATAGATTTTGTATCAGCGATAACTATTGTTATTATTATTATTATTAAATGTATGTAAATTAAGATGAGCCTTGAAGATTGATGATCCGTATTAGCGTGGATCCAATCTTTGTTGGAAGAAATGGTAAAAGATCTTTTTCTGTTTAACCAGAAATTAGTTTAAATTAAATTACTACGTTAATGGAATGATTAAATTTATAATTTTTTATAACCGGCGTCGTAATATTTTAATTTCGGATTGTGTCAAAGTAATACTCTTGGTGAGAACATTGTCCTGTAGCGTGTGAAAGCTGTTTAGTGTCGTCTACTCAATTAAAGAAATTAAAGGAAAAGGATGTAGGACCATCACCGTTCAACTCAGCACCATATATAGATTCGACACAATGTAATGTGTGGCTGTGCGCAAAGTTGTTTACACTTTTTTTTAACCAATAAGCAATGGAAGTCGACATCTGTGTACTGTTGTAGACAATAGAAGCCACGATGAGAAAAGGGTGGTAAGGAAGCATTTGCAAATTGCACTTAATTATTGCCATAAAGAAGGGGTTTCGATTGTGGTCCATGTTTCTATCTTGTTTTTTCTTTTTTCTTTTTTTGTAACGGAATTGTTTTATCTTTGCCAAGCGTTCATCCCACATATTCAAAGCGTGCAATGAAAATAAAAGACAGAGTACAATTGAATTCTACTGACACAAAAAGAAAAAATCTTAGAGCACTCAGATTCAAAGAATTTATAAGTTCTTTAGATGAATTTCATTAAATATTTTATATCATTTCATACTTTCCAATTATGATAAATCAGCTTCAAGTAATAAACATGATAATCAAAGTTCTTTAATTTAGATTTTATTTGATAAAACTATTTTTTTACTTTGTAATTTGTCTTATAGTTTATAAATTTAAATTAATAATAATCATTCACTCACCAATTTATAATTGATTTATTTTTACTAATTTATAGCTTTATATAAGTTAACTTGAAAGTGTATAAGAAAAGACACAAGGGTACACAATCTCCTAAATATGAAACTTTTAGGAGCAAAGTGGTTGAGAAAAGACATAATAGTCCACTCTCTGTCATGCATGAGGCTTATAGGGACAAAGTGGTTGGGAAAAAGATGTAGTTAAATGGTGGTGTCTATTATGCAATTGAGTTTGGGTTAAAAATAGCCCACGCTATTGGTGGAGACAATTCTATCCGTTAATATAAGGTTTGTTTTTGAAAGCCATTAAGTTTTTCTTTAGAGTGGTTATGATTAATATTTTTTGGAAAATACCATTCGATATAGGCTCTCTATCGACTGCATGCTTGAAGTCGGTCCATTGATTGATCTCACATTGTAATGATGGACGTTTGTCTCGAAGGAACTGAAGTTTCAAGAAATTCCAAGATAAACACCGAAAGTTCAAAGAAACACAGGAAAGATGGGGGTTTGAACTAGATTTTTAGATTTAAAGTTTTTTCGAACACCCAAACTCAAACAACAATATTTACAGTTGGATTTGATAAATAACGTTGGTCTCTTGAAAATAAATTTACGTGTGAGATCGATCAGAGAATCTCGGAGCAGTGCCTCAAATCGCACGCGTAGTCAAAGCGTTTTAAATTGCAAAAGATAAGGACAAAAAGACAAAGTAAAGGGGACGAAAAACGTTTTAAATTGTAAAAGATAATGACATAACATTAAAGAAAGTTGTAAAATAGGTTGGTTCAAACATACATTGCCTTTGTCTGACTCATTTCGCTCGTTCGCTTGGTTACTTTGAGTGACTAGCGTGCAGGAATGTGAAAAGTTTTATCCTTTACAAAAGTGCACTAAGTGCTTTATTTATAATATACAGAAATAACTACTTTCTAAGTGGGCTTTGTTTCCTTGCATGCCACGTGTTCTTCGTAACTTCCCATCACAAACCCATGTTCTATATTGTAACTTCTCGTTATGAACCCACGTTCTCCATTGTGGTCGAATCCACGTTCTCCCTCCATAACGTTTCGCCTTTACAGTTTTGGGCGGTTATGGCCCTTTTAACTCTTTTGGGCTTCTCACTTCCATGGGCTCAATCCATTCACCATGAACTTTTCTCTGGTCGACTGCGCTTACGAAACTTTGGTCGACTGCCTGCGAAATCAACCATGGTCGACATGTTTATGTAGTCGACTCCTCATAATCTAAAGCTCTTTAATGCTCTTAAAAGAGCCTTTTTGACTTTTGGTTTGAATTTCTCTCAATATGAAAATTCCAGCCAACAAATCCCCCCCCCCCCCCCCCCCAAAATTTCCTTTTCGACTGAAGGGGCAGCAACTGACATTTTAATCTTTTTCTCTTAGTGCAAAGTGATGTCACTATAATCATGACTTTATTCTGCAAAAGTTACATCAGCGGTCACATAACCACTCTCCTACTTTCTAGCTTCAACTTCCTAGGACAATCGTGGCCTCCAACTTACCAACTTCTTCACCTCAGTTGCCATCTGTTTGACATATGTCGGTCGTGTGGCCACAATTTTATCCCACTTTCTTCCCAAACATTTGAGTTCTTTGGTGGTATAAATATCCTTTTCAATCCTTCATTTTCTTTTTACACTTTCTTTGCATCCTTAAACTCTTAGCTTCCAAACTCAACAAACAAAAACCACCTTCGTTTTTACTCAAAACTTCCAACCACCTTCCACGGTGTCTCCAAACCAAATTATTGAAAACATTAACGCTCCTCACGCGATTGAGCTAGTTTCCACCATGCCTAAGTTCCTCGCTGTTGATGGACAAACCTTTGCAATGGAGCCAAACCCAGCATGCAACGTTGCTACTTTCTGCTCTAATTTGTTGCTTCCATTTGTCTGCAAAAACACTGCATATGCTCTCATGGGACCACCCCTAATGAGATTAGGGCACCAAAAAATCTGCAAAAATGCTTTTCTATTCATAGAAGCACAAGGCCCCCTATCGCCCGAAAGTGTCCTTTAGATTTCTCCCATATCTATAGGACCTCAAAGGTTTTTCGCTCTGCTTCTGCTGTCAACCAGGACTACATTGCATGGTTAAATAAGGTGGATAAAGTTAAAGCTGATGTCTGAAATCCCAAGGCATTTTTAACTTGATTCAACTTTCTAGGGTTGGACCTAGTTACTGTAACTATATGATGATTTCAGCCCTCTATTTCTGGGAGAGTTCCACAAACACCTTCCATTTTGCAACTGGTAGTATGCTAACCCCCATGTTGTTCGACGTTGCGGCTATCATTGGCCTTCGTCCTATAGGTGAAACTTCTATCCCTACTGTAGCTGATGAAGATGTTATTCCCTCTGATAAGGACTTCGCTAGTTTCACCAAGTACATGGTCGGCCAATATACCCCTATTCGACACAACAACCATTTCATCTTCTGGCCTTCTTGATGCGTTCCTCAGGCACCACTATCTACTTCAGATTTTGCCACATATGCTTCATTCTCTCCTAAGCATTTTAGAAGCACTTCTTCAGGTGTTTTTCTAAACAGTTCGTCTCCCATTAATCTATAATTTAACACCATGTACTTAACCTTGCGCCATGTCGACCCAATTGGATTTTTTAAGTAATCAACTATGGGTTTCCTTCAGTCATCTTCAGCTAATGCATCAATGGCGAAAACTTCATCTACCATTTCAAAATTTCCAAAATTCTCATAGTTCAGGAGATCATGGATTATTTTAGGTGTTGCCCCCCAAGTTTTTGTCATTAGTGTGGTTTCAAATTCCAATTTTTCTTTTACCTCAATGAACTCATATATGCTTTCATTGGGTATTTTATATCCAGATGCCAATTGGGCCATGTTATTCGCTTCTTGGTTGTCAATGCGCTTTACATAACTAATCGACATGTTGTCAAATTTTTGAAGTAATGACGATGCTCTGCCCATATATATTACCAGATGATCTTTAACGCAGTTGTATTCTTTGGTCAACTGTTTCACCACTACCTCTGAATCTCCTTTAATATCAACATCTCTTCTTCCAACGTCGAACATAATTTGAAGACCAATTATTAGGCTTCATACTCAGCCTCATTGTTAGAGCATTTGCCTTTGATTTTATAACAAAATCTAGTTAGAATTCCATCTGGAGATAAGATAAAAATTCCTACTCCAGTTCCTTGTTTGTTTTTAGACCCATCAAAATAACATTGCCAAGACTTAGTGCTTACATAAGCTTCAATAATGTCGACTATGAAGTCTGCAATAATTTGTCCCTTACTGCTTTTAAAGGAACATATGTTAACGAGTATTCAGTTAATGCAAGTGCTCATTTACCTATTTGACTGTGCAAAATGGGTTTAGACAACATATGTTTGATGACATCAAAATGAGAATAAATAGAAACTTCAACTGGTTTTATATAATGATTGAGTTTATTACATGAGAAGTACAAACATAAACATAGTTTTTCAATTGCATTATATCTAGTTTTAGCATATTTAATACTCGACTAAGGTAATAAATGATTCTTTCGACTCCATTTTCATCTTCCTGGGCCAACATGCTTCCTAATGTCGACTCTGACGCTGCGATATACAATTTCATTCCTTTGTTTTTGTTTGGAGGTGCCAACATTGGAGACTTCATCAAATAATCTTTCAGGCAATCAAATTCCTCTTGGTGTTCGTTTTCCCACTTGAATTCAGACTCTTTACCTAATTTCAGTAAAGGAGACAATGCCAAAAAATTTCCGCTCATGTTTGACACGAACCGCCTCAAGTAATTTATTTTTCCCAACAAAGATTGGAATTCTTTCTTCGTTGTTGGCGCTTTGGTATTCAAAATTGCCTTGTGTGATCGGTGGAAATAGAACTGATTGTTTTTTAAGCTGGTTCGCGAAATGTCGCGGTAAGCAAGAGTCGCCACCGTCTTTTATGTTCTCCAACATGGAAAGGACAAAAGCACAACAAAATTCCTTATTCGAGATGTCTCTCGGTTCGGGAGGTAGATTTATAGAAAGGGAAGGTGTTAGCACCCTTTCTATCCGTGGTTATTCACGGGCTCTTAGGTACTTACTCTTATGTTTTCAAAAGATGTTTTCTTTTCAAGTGTGAGTGGGTTTTGAAAAAGTTTCGTTTGAAAAATTTCTAAGTAACTCTTGTATCTGTTCTCAAGAGTGTATGAAAAATTTGTTTGAAAACTTTTGGAAAGTGTAGGTGCGAAAAGTTGGTTTTTGTTTTGAAAAGAGCAATTACTTAAGAGAAATCTACCTACTCTAAGGAATTAGGCTGTGTAAGAGTCCTTTAGACAATGCTATCCCACCATTGAGAGGTAGGTAGCACCGTCGTTGGAGGTATTCGGGTCAATTCGATTATTAGGGACATGTGTGGTCACTAAAGCAATGGTAGGACACCTTAGAAGTAACCCTAATGTCCTAGATCCTTTTTTTATCCGGGGCAACCGTTTCGAGGCAACTGGATCTTTAGATAGGAGGGCGACCTCTAAGACACCCTATACTTGACGACCACGTTCGAGGAAACCAGTGAGGCGTACCCTAGGAGTGGCATGTGCATGTGTGTTGTTTCATGTTAATGTTTATCTTGTACGTGTTATTTGTGAGCTACGGATTGATTTTATTTTTCATACATTCTTGCAGGCATATTAACAGTTAAATGATTTGCAGAAAATAAAGTGCGGAAAGGTAAATCTAGCTAT